GTCTTTTTATGTGGTGCACAAATTTCCACATAGATGTATTTTCTCATATCTAGGGCCCCAAAAGACCACTCAGTTTTTCAGGGGTGAGCTGAGCTCATGACGTAACTAAAGGTTTGGGGCCCCTGAACGTAGATAACGGACAACCCCAAAAGGGTTTTAAACAGAAAACGTGCGATCGCTCGCCGTGTCCTCCTGAAGCTAAACGCACTTGTTGGGGAGACTTTTCTCCACCATCACCTCTGCTTTTTCTATAAATTTCATCTGTTAAAAAATAGGAAAAAGAGTGGTAAAAACCCCTTACTCGGGTCCTGTTCTACAGGTCGTGGTGTTCATTAGACAAACCCCCTCGACCTTTCCAATTTAACCCTTGGGACACATCGGGCCGTATTTCCCGAGGGCTTTCCCTCAATGCCCCCGTTTTTTTTCCTCAAAGGCTGCCAGAGAGTTAGTACCCTTGGGCCCTTTTTTTCTCTCAGAGAAAAAACATATAAAAGTCCTTTTTTCACTTCAAGAACTGGAGGGGAAGCTCTCAGCTTGCCAAACATCGGCAAACGGGCCCCGACGACATTCAAATTCGTATTTTTCAAAAAATTTTTCAACGGGCCCCCCCTTTTTGTCCCCCTTTTCACCCCTTTTTAATCTTATTTTGGGGACAAGGAGTTTTTTTTCCCACTTTTGGGGAAAACTCCCTTTTCTCCCCTTTCCCCAAACCGGGTTTTCTACAGTACATGAAAGCCCCCAAAATTCCCCTCGCCCCAAACCTCTTAAATAGTGATTTTTAAAGTGATGGAAAGTCCCTTTAAAACGGGCGGGTTTAAAGTGGTAATTTTTTGAGACACAACAGCTCTCCTCTGTCAAATTTGGCTTCGTAAGGGTCGTTTTACCATAGACCCCTTACTTTTCTTTGGAAAACTTAAAGTTCGCAATGCTTTTGCGAATAATCACTCAGTTTTTTGCCCCCCAAAAATTTTACCTGAGAAGGCATAGACACAAAAATTTAGGATAATATTTTGGCCCAGACCCATTCCTTTGGGCCCCCGAGGAATCTAAAACCCCCTTCCTTTCCCTTTTTAACTGACAGACATTTTCCCCTGTTTGTCAATAAAAGTTTTTTTCCCCGACTTTGCCAAGCTGAAAAGGGGTCCCCCCAGGGAAGTGTTCTAACCCCAACACTTTTTCCCTTCCCATAAAAGATTTTGGCCCCTGTTTTTTTCCCCCCAATATTTGGGCATCAAATCTATGCTGATGACTTGCTTTTTGCTTGTGCAAAGGGGCTGACTGTCATCTTATTGCAAATTTTTTCCCCCCAGCAAAGCGGCCCCACCGTTTTTTCCACTTGGGCCACCCCCGCATGGGGTTTTTTTAAAATTTTTTAAAATACCCAAAAATCACCAAATTACTTTTACTAACGCTCTGGGTTTTTTTTCCGATTTATCCTTTTTTTATCCTATGGCCCCCCTATCCCCGAACGTGATAGTCCGGTTTTTAGGCCTTCCTTTGAAACCCCCGGTTTTCCTGGGGAAAACCTTTACATTAACCTCTCCGAACAACTTGTCACCCGCCCTAAAACCCCTTTTTAAAAACCCTTTTCTCATCTTCCTGGGAAGTATGTCGAACTCTGCCCTTTGCCTACATTCACCCTCGTTTAAACGAAACTCAATTTTGGGGAACCCCGATTTTTTCCGCGGGCCCCTTTTCCCGCTACTCCCCCCTAGCCCCTTTAAATCTATTTTCCCCACCAAGGATTACCCTTTGTGCCTTTGGGGCTTTTTTGCTCTTTTCCCCGTTTAGAAACCTCTATCAGAAGCGAAAGTTCCATCCTTGTCTGATTTGCCGTGATGCCCCGCCTTTCCCACCCAAATAAAGCCTCCCGATCTACAAAAAAACCTTCCATTTATAGAATGTCACCGATATTATAACATTCTTTATTTTGTTCCCCCCCCCCTGTTTGCTCCGTCCCTTTTTCCTTTGCCTACATTCACTCTTGTCTTCCCCCTTTTGTTACCAAACCCTTTTTATGTTCATGTAGCATCTCACTTTTTTCCCTTTCCCCCCCTGGGAAGTTCCCGCCCTTTTTGGGTCTATTCTTTCCCCTCCCTTTCTCGAAAGCTGAACCCGCCCACAGTGGCTTTCCCCCTCTTTTTCTTATCACTCCCCTCCCATTCTCATGCCACCGCTTGTACACAATGGCTCTAAGTCTTTAGACGGGGGTCGGATTCGCAGCAAAGTTTTTCCGGGCAGCGTCGTGGGGGGGGCATTTACTACTTCAGCTAGCATTTTTAAATGCTGAAATGGATGCCCCTTCTTGCGCACTTATTCGTATCGCATCAAGCCTGTGTCCCTCAATTTTCAGTATTTTCCCAAATCCCTTAGTGCTCTTTCAGGCTAAAACCGAAAATTTTTATACATCTCATTCCCTATTCTCCTTTTCCAACTTTGGGTACGCCGTATCTCTACCAAAAAATAAAAAATAAATTTTTTTTGTTGGGGCCCCTGGCATTCGACGTACAGGGCAATGAACAGGGAAAACACTGGCCCGCGCGGGCACATACATTACCCCAAACCCAAATTTTCCCAACGAGGTGTTTCCTTTCTGGACTATTTTTCTGCAATAGCACCCAAACCTTTGCACCCGTTGGGAAAAACGTTGGTCAACTCTGCTCGGTAACAAACTTTATTATTAAACCAGCATAGGTTACTGGGCCCTCTTTTTTGTCATCATTTCCGAGGGTTGGGGGACCACCTCCCCGGGCCCTTTGCATTGGCCCCCACTCGTCTTACCATGGGGAAACCCCAAGGGGAAAGGCCCCCCTTTCCCCTCGTGAGCATGTCAAGTTCCAGTATCCCATTAGGCCCCCATTCTGTTTTGACTGCCCCCTTTTAACAAAAACACGCAGAATTTACCTCCCGTTTGTCTTCGTTCTACTACTTCTCTTAAACCCTTTCCCCTTTTTTGCTGATGGACCCCCCCCTTTAATCCTGAACCTTTTCTCATTGAAAATTCTTGACAACGACTGATTTACTCCACCCAAAATCTGACGATACTTTTTGCCTCCCCTCAGCCCTTTCTAGTTTTACTTTGCTGCCCTTTACCCTTTTACCATCCACTAAACCCCCCTGTTATCCGTAACCTATTACTCGTCCATCTCCCTTTTGCCACCTGATGCCCTCGCTTCCTTCCTGCCCTGCAGCGCTGTATAGTCCTTGCGGCTTAGCGCTTCTTTTTTATTATAATAATAATGTGGGGATAATGCTCCATAAATGTTGGTGTTTCGGATGGACACGTAATAGAAATCCAACTTGTGGTGGCTAGTCCCAGGCTCATAGCAGCACCCATTCACTCCCAGTTGATCTAATACGTGTACAACTGGCCATTTAATAAGTGTCCGTCAGACTATTACGTGATGTGTAGCATGCCTCTGTAGTTTTCCAAAACATGTGATAAATGGATTATGAAAAATGTCTTGTGATGGCATAAATATAGGATGTTTTTAGTGCCCCAGAGCGATATTCTTGTATTATTGCATCAACACAAGTGCGACACACCCTTAGCTACTCCTTTGCCTGACTTTGCTCCTACTTTGTAACTTGACAGAGCTCACAGAATATGTAAATGGAGAAAGTGTGGTGCACAGGTGCCATAGTAATCAGGAGCCATGAATTGTCCATATTAGCGAAGCACTGGAAAGCAGGGGCCCTCCTGTATGTACCTTTTGTTAACCCTTTGAGGGTCGACAGGCCCTCTCCGAAACTCGTTCTCAGGGTCGGCCAAATTTAAAAAAAAAAAAATAATTTTCTCTTATGAAAAGATAGAGAATCTTTTCCCGATCATAAGGACACCAAAAGTTTGAAATTTGATGGAAAACTTACAGAATTATGCTCTCGCGAAGTTAGCGGTCTCGGCGATGTTTAGGCATCGGCGATTTTGCCCACTTTGAGCCCCATTTTCGGCCAATTCTACTGTACTAGTCGACAAAAAACATGAATATTTCGCTAGAACTCCATTTTTTCTATCGAATGGGTGCAAGAAACCACCCATTTATGAAATTCAACTATCCAGTACAGTGGTCAGAATTTAGCAATTTTGCCAATTTCATACAAATTTCAAAAGATGCCAATTTCCGAATAGGGTCCAGAATAAACAAGAAAGACATTTCTGGCACTAAAATGACATTTCCTCTGGTCATTAGTCACGTCTCAAGGCCCCTCTTATATTCTTTTGCTTTCCACTTTGAATTTTTATTCTCACAAAAAAATATAAGATTTACTGTTATGCAAACTACTGCATTAGTGTAAAAAATGGTATAAATATTATTGGCGCACTTGTGAAAGAATATTAGACTCGCCAGTTGACGTGTATTGGACCATTGGCACGATTTGTTTACTTTTGAAATTTGGTAAAAATCGAACATTTCTGCTACTTTAAGCTCAATTTCAAGGTACCTTTCATTGTAAAACCAGTCAAAATCATCTCAATTTCTGTAATATGTCTTCCATTCTATAAAATGAGACCAAGAAAACTAGAATACAACAATAAATACCATACGAAAATACAGTGCAAAGTCGCCATTTTATTCCAAAAAAACGGTCAGTTTTTTTTTTTTTCTCATTATGCACTGTGTGCTGCAGGATTTTTTTTAGACTGTGCACACTGACCACAGACCCATTCTTTCATATGAAGGCCTACCAGCTTTCTCCCACTAGATTTGAGGGCGCTAGAATTTAGGCGTACTAGTACGTCAAAAACCCTGGGTCGTAAGCCGTACTAGTACGTCCGAGACCCTCAAAGGGTTAAAGATTATATTATGCCTTGTTGCAAACACTTTGTAGTAGGTTTGGTAAACATAGGTCTCTAGAATGGTGGTTTTTAACTTGACACCTATGCATTTTTATGCTACTAGATGGTCTAAATTGTAATACAGGTTGGTTCCACATTTTGTGACAAGTTTCAAGTGGTGATTTATAAATATCTAACATGTGCCTCATGCTTTTTTTAATAGGTTGTAAAGAAGAGATGGAATGCCAAGAGGTTGACATACGATGAACGCAAAGCTGCCATTCAAAAGCGCAAGGATGCTTGGTTGGCTAAGATTGAGAAGGGGGAGGCTACTATGGAAGAGCTACGTGTCCCTAGGCACCACCACCGTTAATAAAGATTGTGGTCAGAATTGTTTGTTTCTTTATCTTAGCAAAAGAATAAATTGAAGCAAGCATAAAATCTAGCATCTTTAATTTTGTCATGAGTTTATATAAACCATTTTGGTTTAGAAATGCACAATGTTAATTGAAACAAATTATTATTGTCCTTGGTCAAACTTATCACTGGTAAAAGTTTAAATCAAACTTCTGCCCCGTAATTTCAACAGCTAGAGAAAAGGAATTAATAAACAAAAATTGACTATCAGAACTACCCTATGAAGTACAAAATTTGGTAGATTTTACAAATTAAAAAAATTAATTTAAAAAGCCCAAAATAAACTTAGACATTCCAGGCACTAAAACATTTCCTCTTCATTAATCACATCACTAGACCTCTCCTATATATTACACTTGCCTTCCATTTTGAATTTGTAAAAAGTCACCCTAATTGGATAATAAAATAATGGCATGTCAGTAATTGAATTGGACCTCTTAAACCATGAAACAGACTGGGGGGTGCATAGGAGTCCTTACCTATCCATGGGGAAAATTGCCAATCTAATATTTTGGCCCCTTTGAGCCCAATTTCAAGCTGCTACTGGTTCTGAAACCAACTATCATCCTTCAGTATTGTCTTTCATTGTATCAAGTGATGCTCAGAAACGGTACATTAAACTATAAAAATGACACTAGAAAGCATACCGAAGTTGCTATTTTAAACCAAACACATGGTCAGCATTTTGCTACTTCCCCATTATGCACAGCATGGGGTACTTTTTTTTATGCTGTGCACACCCATTCTCTCATCTAGGCCAATATTTGCTGCTCTCGGCTTATCTGAGGGAGCTGTGCTTAAAACATTGTTCTACATGCTGGCCACCAAAATCGTTAAGGAACCATTGCTAGATGGTGGCAAATATTTGGAGGCAACCTGAAGGCGGCTAATTTCCATCTGAGTAGATTATTATAATCAAGGGGGAAGCGCTAAACATGTAGGTTTATACAGTGTCTGTGGAAGGTATTTAATAACGACTGAGAAACTGATTGTGGTGGTCCTCTAAAATACTGTACTGGTTTAAGTTTTTTTTTTCTCTCCATATTGTACTGTGGTATAATTCAGTGTAGCACCTTACCTGGATTGCCGGGGGACACCCATCACTGTCAGTATTCAACTCAGTGCAATTTAGGAAGGAAAACTTGCACCAAAGTTTTTTTTATTTACCTCTCAAGGGGGGTGCCTTGAGGTTGAAGGGGACCTTTATCCAAGAAACTGTATCTCCCTTCTTAAATCAAACCTGATTACCTCCCATTCTTAAGTGCTGGATGATCTTGTGAATTTATTGAAAATTGGATCTCTCAACAAAGGTTCTGTCGATACCAGTGAGTTGTTCTTGACCCAAGGAATTGTACCGACCTTCCCATTCTTTGGATCATTTCTGATTGACTCCCATTCCCATGACTTACATTTTTAGTGTAATGTCAAGATCTAGTGCTAAACCCATTTGGGTCAAAAAGTGCACCTTGCAAGTTTAGCACTTATTTACAATTATAATAAAACTTTTTTCAAATGCACTCAGTGCCTTTCAGGGCAAGAGCAGACCTGGAAAATTGAATGGAAAAGACATAGTTGATAATATATACTTGGAAGAAAGTATGCAATAAACCCAGTGAAGAATTGAGATCATAGGTACAATTAGTGTCAACATCTGTGGCCCATCTGATGCCAGAAATACTGCTGGAAGTACAAGACATGACCCTTTCAAGTTGGCTTTTGACAAGGTAGGTTACTTCCAATAGTAATCATGATCCTAGGAATTAAACCTATCCTCCCTTGGGTTGATCCTGATTACCTTTTGTTGCTGTAGGTGCTGCAGGACCCCTACAGACTTGTTTTCCTATTAATGCAAAAGTCTAATGGTATCCTATTTAGCAAGAACTTTGGGGCAGTCTCTCCACTGCCCCAACACTTTCTGACCTATGAAAGTCTCACCTTTGATGCAGCCTTGTTCTTTAATTTTGATTAAGATTTAACCTGTTGCACAGACTGATGTGAGTTTTACCCCTGCACTATTATTACAATCAAAGCAGCGCTGTATAGCCCTTGTGGCTTAGCGCTTCTTTTAAATGTTAAGGAAGAAACAGAGGCAGTAATTTCATGCACTGGTCAGGGAGGTATACCATCTTTTAGGAGTGAAGAAGAGCAGAATGCGAGTGTGGGGGAGGTACGCGAGGCATTGTGTAAAATGAAAGGCGGTAAAACAGCTGGAACTGATGGGATCATGACAGAAATGTTAAAAGCACGGGGGGATATAGTGTTGGAGTGGTTCGTACTTTTGTTTAATAAATGTATGAAAGAGGGGAAGATACCTAGGGATTGGCAGAGAGCATGTATAGTCCCTTTATATAAAGGGAAAGGGGACAGGAGAGACTGTAAAAATTATAGAGGAATAAGTTTACTGAGTATACCAGGAAAAGTGTACGGTAGGGTTATAATTGAAAGAATTAGAGGCAAGACACAATGTAGGATTGCGGATGAGCAAGGAGGTTTCAGAGTGGGTAGGGGATGTGTAGATCAAGTGTTTACATTGAACCATATATGTGAAGTTTTTATTGCATTTATGGATTTAGAAAAGGCATAGGATAGTGGATAGATGAGCAATGTGGCAGATGTTGCAAGTATATGGAATAGGTGGTAAGTTATTAAATGCTGTAAAGAGTTTTTTGAGGATAGTGAGGCTCAGGGTTTGGATGTGTAGAAGAGAGGGAGACTACTTCCCGGTAAAAGTAGGTCTTAGACAGGGATGTGTAATGTCACCATGGTTTAATATATTTATAGATGGGGTTGTAAAGGAAGTAAATGCTAGGGTGTTCGGGAGAGGGGTGGGATTAAATTTTGGGGAATCGAATTCAAAATGGGAATTGACACAGTTGCTTTTTGCTGATACTGTCTTATGGGAGATTTTAAAGAAAAAATTTCAAAGGGTTTGTGGATGAGTTTGGGAATGTGTGTAAAGGTAGAAAGTGAAAGTGAAAAAGAAAAGAGTAAGGTGATGAGGGGGTCAAAAAGATTTAGATAAAGAAAAATTGGATATCAAATTGGGAGTAGTATATGGAAGTGAATGTTTTCAGATACTTGGGAGTTGACGTGTCGGCGGATGGATTTATGAAGGATGAGGTTAATCATAGAATTGATGAGCGAAAAAAGGTGAGTGGTTCGTTGAGGTATATGTGGAGTCAAAAAACGTTATCTATGGAGGCAAAGAAGGGAATGTATGAAAGTATAGTAGTACCAACACTTACATGGGTGTGAAGCTTGGGTGGTAAATGCAGCAGCGAGGAGACTGAGGCAGTGGAGATGTCCTGTTTAAGGGCAATGTGTGGTGTAAATATGCAGAAAATTCGGAGTGTGGAAATTAGGAAAAGGTGTGGAGTTAAAAGTATTAGTCAGAGGGCAGAAGAGGGGGTTTTTGAGGGGGTTTTGGGCATTTAGAGAGAATGGTCCCAAAATAGAATGACATGGAAAGCATATAAATCTATAGGGGAAGGAAGGCTGGGTAGGGGTTGTCCTCGAAAGGGTTGGAGAGGGGGTAAAGGAGGTTTTGTGGGCAAAGGGCTTGGACTTCCAGCAAGCGTGTGTGAGCGTGTTAGATAGGAGTGAAGGAGACGAATGGTACTTGGGGCCTGACGATCGTTGGAGTGTGAGCAGGGTAATATTTAGTGAAGGGATTCAGGGAAACTGGTTATTTTCATATAGTCGGACTTGATCCTGGAAATGGGGAAATACAATGCCTGCACTTTAAAGGAGGGGTTTGGGATATTGGCAGTTTGGAGGGGTATGTTGTGTATCTTTATATGTGTATGCTTCTAAACTGTTGTATTCTGAGCACCTCTGCAAAAACAGTGATAATGTGCGAGTGTGGTGAAAGTGTTGAATGATGATGAAAGTATTTTCTTTTTGGGGATTTTTTCTTTTTTGGGTCACCCTGCCTTGGTGGGAGACGGCCGACTTGTTGAAAAAAAAAAAAATTATTACAATCAATACTAAGCCCTAAACCCACAAGTCATAATTATTATTATTATTATAATCAAAAAGAAGCGCTAAGCCACAAGGGCTATACAGACCACAAGTCATAAATAAATAACAAAAAGGCACAATACCGTGACTGGAACGATACACAAACAACCCGCACATAAAAGACAAGTCATACAATGCTGCACCCCTGCTCTAACACTGCACACAAATAACTTTTGGGTTTAGCACTTTGATTATAATCTTAAGCATAGTGGAGCCTACTCAAACTCCTTGATGTTTATAATACTGGAGTACTGAATGCGTAGGTAATTGCATGTTTCTGGAAAATGAAAGTGATCCTCCAATACTTAAATTTTATTGCAAAGATTTTCTAGCCAATATTTTCCAGTTATTTTTAGGACCAGGTTTATTTATCAAGAAAAAGATTCCTGGTGATATTGGAATGGTGCTCCTCGGGAGACTGATGAAAGACAGTGTCTCTTCACTTGGTGGCGCATCTTTGCTGGCCCACATGCAAACACTCCAACCTTATTCCTGAAAGAGCAATATTATTGCCAATGTCAAAACACTACAAAGCGGATCCTGCATTAATGTGCGATTATACAACTTTTAGTAAAATTTAATTTGTTAAATGTCAGACATGTTTTTTATCCTAATATGATTCATGCATACTGTTTATATTTAAAGAAACATACCTTGTGTATATTTGCTGCCACTCTCTAAATAGGTGCTTCCATGGTGGCCGACCTTGTGTGATGCGCGGCAGTAAACTAGGATGTTCTTTTGCAAACAATTCCTGTGCAATTAGTAGAAAAGTACATGCACAAAACCTTAAGTGCAACAATAAGGATCACTGGCACAGACATTACAGGTTTATTATTTAACAATGAATGTAATAGATTATGCAGAAAATGTAAGACAGTACTTTATATTATGACCTCAATCACCTACATGGGTTTGACTTTTATAAAAATAATAATGGCCTCACTGAGGTACTGTCCAGTATGAAAAATTACAATATTAGTTCGTTAAATTGCATCCATGTACTTTTATTTTAATAAAAGTGATTACAAGAAGTCATCTGTAACTAAAATTTTGGAAGAATCGAAGATAATGAGGTAGGTATGGTATTCAGAAGTACATCATAAAATCTACCCAAGTGTTATTCACAAACAGCTGAAGATGCATTAATTACACAAGTATCAAAGAGGTATGCTTTGTAAATGCACCCCAACCTTTGATGCAGACTCCCTCTTTAGTTAGTTAAAGTTAACTGCTTTATTACACCTTTGATTATTTTTCCTTCAGTGCTCCCCACTACCCTTACTATTGTCTCATCTATACACCTAACCCTCGCCGATTGCTGATCACATTTCATCTTTAGAACATCTGACCCTGAAGCGCTGTATGACCCCTGTGGGCTTAGCGCTTGGTTTAATATTATTACAATCAAAACTAAATTTTTTAATGCTTCAAAATGAAATGCTTGACCCCCAAGGAATTATTTTTTTTTTTTTTCAGTGTCCTGCTGCACACACTACTTGCTGAATGCAGATATTATTCTGAAAAGTGCTAGACCAACAGGGGTTATACAGCAACATACTTTGACTAACCTGTTGCACAAAATACAATTCCCACTTTTATTTGTACTAACCCCTCCTTGCAACACTGCAATGACTGATCCATGTGGATTAGCTTTTTTTTTTTTTTTTTTTTTTTTTTTTTTTTTTTTTTAAGAAAGATCACTTAAAAAGAGAAATGCTTTTCATTTCCTAGATGTATGACCCCTATGGGTTTAGTATTTACCAGTTTTATTATATTCATGGGAAAAGCTAACTCACAATATAACAGTCACTGCTTGTAGTTTATATACCTCAAGCAGCCCTGGCAATGTTGGTGTAGTAACATGGAGGCGAAGTTCCAGACGGTCCTCTGTGTGAGCATCCCAACAGTGGAGGAGGAGACTAGATAATAAAGGTGCTAGAGCCAAAAAGAGGCGAGCATCTCGTACAACCCACACGACGTGTATTCGCTCAGGCCATGGGGACTTGCAACACCTGAAGTATGCAATATTAAAAGTATTTAATAACTTTTTAATGTCAACTTGCTGAGAAGTGAGAATGCTAATGTGTAAGGATTGATACCCATGAACCCCTCAAGGAAGGTTCCTTGATGTTGGTGAGGGGCTCTTGATTTAGGGAATTGGATCTGTGCTCCAGTTCCCCGAATTAAGCCTGAATGCCTTCCACATCCCCCCCCCCCCAGGCGCTGTATAATCCTCCGGGTTTAGCGCTTCCCCCTTGATTATAATAATAATGATACCCACGAAGATACACACTTACTTTGGAAAAGATAACTTGTACATTTGCTGGTAGGTCTAAGTAAAAATGTTATACAGCACAGTGGTACCTCGAGTTTCGAACAGCTTCCAACTCGAACAATTATGTAAGTGTATTTTTGGGGGTTTGAAGTGGCCTAATTAATTTACATTATCCCTTACGGGAACAAATTTGTTCGGTATTGGCACTCGAACAGCCTTCTGGAACGAATTAAGTTCGAAACTCGAGGTACCACTCAGTATTGTTCGTTTTTATCACTAACCATTTTAGTGTGAAGCCAAGAAATGGAAAGTGCTGACAATGTCAGCACTTGAAAAAAAAAATCTTTTTGAGATGGTAGAGAATCTTTTTTTCTGGAGGGAATAGTACAAAAAAATAAGATTTGATGGAATTACATAGGTGCAAAGTTAGCAGTCTGGGAGCAATTTATGCATTGGCGATTTTGTCGAGTCATTTTTAAACCAATTCCTCTGCTCATTTCAACCAAATTCTTAGCTATTCTGCTAGAATTTTACAAAATATTCCAGGCCTGGGAACCATCCCCCCCCCCAGTAGACTAAAGCAACACTGTTCATTAATAATCTTTAGGCCTCTCCTATATTACCCTTGCCTTCCACTGAGTACATCACAAAAAACAAAATTTACCCTATTTCTTGGAAAATAAAATTTAGTTAAAAATGATTGGTTATGGTTTAGGGCATCCCAATAATTGAATCACACCTAGTAAAAGCCCACATAATAGATCTTGGAGTGTAGGAGATAACCTTGCCTGTTCTCAGGAAAACTCAAAAATCTAATATTTCTGCTACTTGAGCCCAATTCAAAGTTATTTCTGGTCCTGAAACCAACCAAGTATCTATTGCAGTAGTATATTTGCCATTCTATCAAATAATATCAAGAAACTGCTGATAAAACCATAAGAAAAATCCTAGAAAACACCTCAATGTCACTATTTTAAACTAAACAGAAGGTCAGAGGTTAGCTTTTTCTCATCATGCACCATGTGGGGTAGAAACTTTTTGTAATACCGTGCATACTTGGCCCCACACACATTCTCTCATGTCTAGGCCAAAACTTACTGCTCACAACTTATCTGAAGGGGTCAAACTCAAAACAGATCTATACAAGTGATGCGGACATCAATAACCTAGATCTACATAAGTGACTAACATCAATGTAAATGTACGTATGAGACAGTGAAAAGGTTAGCGAGTCTACAACCTCGAGGATTCACTAACTTTAGCAGATTCATCAGTTTGTGTCAACTATTTTAGCACTTTTGATTATAATTCTGTAAACTACATTCTTTCATTCTAAGCACTCAGACCTCTAAAGCTTACCTCATTTTTATTTTTCCTGTCACTTCCTACTTCCTTCCACCTTGAGAATTTCATGGTTCAAGTTTGCTCTTCCTTTCCAAGTCTTATTTCTCTGCCTTGTACAACTGCTTGATCATTTACATTTTACTGATGCTACTGCTGTGTATTTTTTTAATAAGTAACTTCTGCCTATAATTTTCATTTCCATTTATGTTAACTAAAAATATTTAACCACCAACCTCCAGCAGCTCTAACACATTCTGCTCTAAACCTTCACAGCCCGAGGGACTTATACAATTTATCTGTACAACGATCATTGTAAGCTTTCTATAGTAACACAGCACTAATGCCTTAACATTTACAAGATAAACAAAAAGGCACAAAACCATGACTGGAATAATACACAAATAACCCGCACATAGGAGAAAGGAGTTTACAACAACGTTGTGGTCCGACATGAGCCATTTACAAATGCATACTTTGTAAATGGCTTTGTCGAACAGAAACGTCATCATAACCTTCTCTCTTCTATGTACAGGATATTTTGCATGTACTTACAAGATATGCGAGAGGGTTGCAGCCAAAGGTGTAATGCCCACACCACCTGCAGTGCCTATTACCACAGGATAGTTTAACATGTTTTCACTTGAAGAGCTGAAGGGCCCATCCACATGTAATCTGTACACACAGAATGAGTACACTAAATAAATCTTGTAGCAGAAATTTTTTTTTTTTTTGTTATGAAGCCCGTGATAAGTAATCACATTTCTACTTGATACAACTTGGCAGTCAAAGGTAAAAAAAAAGAACCCTCTGCAACCCACCCCCTGACCCTTCAGTAAATCAGTGTGCCCACAAATATCAAAGTTCCATTGTGTAACAGTTCTTGGATAGAAGAACAGGATCACCTGATGTATACTACTGACAAAAGATATCCTCAAATATCTTAAGCATAGGTTACAGTATTATGGAAACTATCATTTGTATGAATTAAAATTTTTCTCCATCTGATAATATAGTGCAAATATTTGATAGCATTAAGAAACTATATGGTGCTTATTTATCTTACCTTACACTTGATGCTTCTGTAATGAGGATGCTTTGGTAGTTTCTGTCTTGAGTTAAATTCCCACTTTCACTTTTAAGTGACCACTTTCTACTAGACAAAGAGCTCTTCTTTGTGTTTGTAAATGTACTTTTGTAAATGTGTTGTGGATCAACTAAACGAGTACCTGGTTCTGTGTTTAATGCATGCTCTGTATAGGTTTCATCAGCTCTGTCTACAGTCATGCATTGATTACATAATTTTGAGTGTCTATGAGTTTTGGAATTCAGCAGCACCATGTTTTTAGAATATGGATGCATCCTCCTTAAACGGGAAGTTTTAGAATGTCTATCAGTTCTCAATAGGGGTCTATGTGAATTAACCAAATTTAGGTTGACCTTGTTAGAGCCTGAGCTGATATCATATCTTACATTTAAATTTGAATGATATACTGGTTTTGTTTGCAAATAATTGGCTGTTTTAGTTTCATACACCCCCGGTGAAAAAGAAAAATTTTTAAATTCATCTACTGAGGGCACATACGAGTAAGTTTTTGCACCATGAGGTAAAGGAGCAAACACTGGATTTGTGCATGGAAATGTGGGAGAAAGCAAAGTTAAGTGACTAACTGATGAGAGTTGACAAGATGGCATAGCTCGAGTGGCTGGACTAGACTGTGGAAATGTGCTACAGCGTTGATGCATGTAATTTTCCTGACAGTTAATAGCGAGTGTTTTTGAATACGAGTTTCTATCAGGGTGTAAGAGAGCTGCAACATGACTACTCCAGTCCCCTCTCACTCGCATAAAGATGGTGAAGGTATCAGGGCAGTGCTGGCTTGGTGGCTGTAAAAGAAATAAATACATACCATGTAAATGTATGTATATATGCATGTACATATGCATGTACACGTGCTTGTACATGCATATGTACAAGCAGGCTCACTGAATGTACAGTATGTCTCATTACAAGCATGACTGACATTAATACTGTACTTAGTTTTCTACAAGTGCTTACATACATAATGTCAAAACACAACTGACTGCTATTCCAACATAAAAATATCTAGATTCATCAAAATTATCCACCCCACAAGGGCTTGTGATCCAAGGAAGTGGATGTATCTTCCCCTTCCTTGGATCAAACCCATTCACCTTCCATTACCTATGTACTATGATTCCTATGGGTTTAGCACTTCCTCCCGATCAAGTTACAGTAATAAACAAGTATCAAATGCAAGACTCACGAAACCATAATGACATGATTGCAAACAAACCATACCACAGGTAGGGATAGAACCTGTGGTCAGAGAGTAATAAAACTCCAGACCAACGCATTAGCCACTGGGTCAGCTGGCTATAATAAGATTCATCCAACTAGGTATATTTATACACCATAGGAAGATTAGCATAGGCACCACTGTAACTACAAACGCAAGTTTTTACAGACGAATCTTCTGCCACCGTGGCTGTGATGAACTCTAGCTCCAGTCCTCCCAAAGCCGTCAACATGACGTCCTATGCTAACCTTGAGGCCCATAAGGAATATACTGTATATCAAATACAAATTAAAAATAAATAAATAAAAAAAAAATAGAAAAGGCAAATAATTACCTGTCAAAAAAAACTCAATTATTTTTACCATGGTTAAAGGAAAGCTGACTTTCAAAAGATTTTTTCTCTGCTTTTACTTCTACCCTTCAAGAGGGTACCTTAATGCTTGTGTTGGGCTCTTGATCCAAGGAGTTGGAGTCAGTCTCCTCTTCATGGAATCAAACCTAATACCTTCTATTTCCTGGGTGCTGTATGATGCCCTAAAGAGGCATCAGATTATTTAAGATTTACAGCCAGAGTTTCGATGAGGAATGCCAATATACCACAGATTTTCTCCCAGACCGAAAAACCTATTACATCTCAAACATTTTATTATTGTGAAGAAAAAAAATCCAAGATTAACAGTAATATTAAGACAACCAGAATAGTTGTGCATTCTTCTAACTGGACAAACATCAGTTATCATCACTAACACCTGCAGTACAGTCAACACAATTTGTGTGCAAAACACGAATAACCTCTCAAGACAGAAAACTAGCAACAAGATCATTATAGGAGTGTACAAAATACCTTACAGTAATTATTACAAAATAAATATGCAGCCTCTCCTCACTTAACGACGGAGTTCCGTTCCTAAGACCACATCGGTAAACAAATTCATTGCTAAGTGAGGAGCATACTATAATGGCAGTGGGTTTATGTCAACCATCTTTGATATTGTTTTAATGTCACCTTTGCACCATTTATAACATTTTTAGTATATTTTTAAATGTTTATACAATAGAGTTCTGTTTATTGTAATAAATGGAATAGTGGAAAGCAGTTCTACTCTACATTATTTAGGTATGTATACTGGTCAGAGAGCCTGTCATAAGTCTGAGTCATCGGTAAACGAGAAGGTCACTAAGTGAGGAGAGGCTGTATATATAGTATAGGAGAAATTAATTTATATGCATAGTTTATGAACCTAAGTACTCTTGCTGCATCCACAAAATACAGTAAAAAAAAAATAACAGAAGCAGCAGCCATTAATGCCATAATGCCACTGAATGACTGACACTGACACAAACCATCACACAACAAAAATAAATATAAATGAATAAAAAATAAGGGTACCCCCCCCCCTCCACCCAAAAAAAAAAAAACACTTGCCATCATTCACTGTCTTTAAAGTGGCGTGCAGATGCGACAGTTTAGATGTCACGCTAAACAGCAAATATCCCAAACCCGTCCTTGAAAATACAGGCACTTTACTTTCCACCTCCAGGACTCAAGTCCAGCTAACTGGTTTCCCTGAATCCCTTCACAAAATATTACCCTGCTTACACTCCAGCAGTTTGTCAAGTCCCAAACACAATTCATCTCCGCTCACTATCTATACATGCGCATATAATTTTTTTCAACACATTGGCAATCTCCCACTGAGGCAGGGTGACCCTAAAAAGAAACATTTTCACCATCATTCACACAATCACCATCTTGTAGAGGTGCCCAGACACAACAGTTTAGATTTCACTCCAAACAGCCAATATCCCAAACCCCTCCTATATAAATAAATAAAAAGCACACACATCACCCATCTTCCACAAAGGTAGGGAGACCCAAAAAAGAAACACTTTTGCCATCATTCACTCCATCACTGTCTTACCACAGGTGCACCGATACCACAGTTCAGAAGCCTCCCTAAGCTGTATATATCCCCACCCCTCCTTCAGACATTTTATTATACTATACCAACTTTAACATTCCACTTTAGTACATGAACTTCCTCTCACATTTTCCTTGACGTTAGCACCCCTCCACCATGTAGTGCTGTATGATCGATAATGATCATACAGCACTACATATTTATATATACTGTATATAAACAAAGTGTATACAGAATTCTATATCCTTAATATTCCTAATAATTTTATTAATTGTTAGGCTGATTTGCAATGCACTCACCCAAGGTTATGAGTCATTAATAAGCAGACACGTCATGCTGAGCAGGGTCAGGAAACTGCTGGGGTCACAGTGTGTAGCCATGTCACCTAAGAGATGCGAGTCACTTGTGTTAGTCATCTAGGGTTAGTGTGCACACACATTACACAACATACAACACTACTGCAAGACTGGCAATTCTAACAATTCAGAACTGAACTAACAACAAAAGGTGTACTATACATACAGTATGTAATTCCCAGTACTGGCATAACAAATATTCTTCCCTATAAAACCAGAGAATTTTAAAAAAATGTATATATTAAATATTACTAAACACAGTCTCATACTTAGCATTTTCATCTTAATGCATGCACCTCTGACATTCATTTAACTATTAAACAATGCTTCAGCTGTGAGAATAACATTGACGGGAGGGTACAATAAATCTACACAGCTTTTCTTACATATTTGTTTATGAACCTGCAGTGCTGCATGATCCTTATGGGTTTAGCACTTTCCATTAACAAAATCAAGAACCTGATTCCTCAAGCCCTTTGAAATTTACATTTTAATTATCGTAACTTTATGATAACTTTCTTTGCCCTACAGATTTCACAGTTGTACCATATTCTTGATTTAACTTCATTCTGTATTTATATTTTTTTGATTTATCAAAGTTTTGATTCGTTCCCTCCTTACTGCTCTTTCTACAATTAAGAGATGATATTAATATGGAGATCTGGGTTTGCTAGTGCCTTAACAGTTGCATATCTTGCATCATGGTACATTGCCATGGTGTTACCATATTCAATCATCCTGCCTTGGTTGTAAACTGCCAATGTATTTCTAGAGAAAGGGCATTATTTTTTTTATTTTATTTTTTTCAAGTCGGCCATCTCCTACTGAGGCAGGGTGACCCAAAGAGAAAGAAAATCCCCCAAAAGAAAATACTTTCATCATCATTCAACACTTTCACCTCACTCACACAATCACTGTTTTTGCAGAGGTGCTCAGAACACAACAGTTTAGAAGCATATATGTATAAAGATACACAACATATCCCTCCAAACTGCTAATATTATACTCTCACAAACCTATTTGTTCCATAGTCAATATTTTTGTTTTTTTCAACGAGCCAGCCATATCCCACCGAGGCAGGGTGACCTAAAAAGAAAAACTAATGTTTTTCTTTTTAAATTTAATAATTCATACAGAAAGGGTTACTAGCCCCCCTTGCTCCTGGCATTTTAGTGGCCACTATAGTCTTGCTTAACTACTTTTTATAACAAACTACTAATATGTACCTGGGTCTGGGTACCCATACTGTGTTATTCATGAAAGATTGAAGCCTCAGCTCTGATAATCTACTCCTAAAGTAAAGCTACAATTATTTAAAGTAAAGCATTAGTAAGATAAGCAGATACTGAGGCAAGCAAAGCAAGGTAGGTGTACAATACTCACTGAGGTCACAGTGAAAGGGTGCCACTCAAACCTCGACACTGTTGGGCACTGCACCAGCACATACTAGCAGAGAAACGAATATGTTAAGAAGTGTTCGTTAATGGATGAATTGTAAAATTACATGTTTTACTCTTTTTTATAAACTAATGTACTGCAATAAATCAAAATGAATTCAAGATTCTCCACATACAAATAAATACACTCTTAAAATACTTCACTGTTGGCAAGAGAGAAAGTTAGGGTGATATAGGAAGCAGTAAGCAGACAAACATGGCAGAAATCACAATATCTAAGGTTTCTTAAAGCTCAACAGCTGGGTACTTCAAGGCAGGAGTAGATTATTATTCTGGAGACTGCTCATATTTGCAAGAAGGTACCTTGGCAATTGCTTCTGTAAAGCAGCTGTTCATTTTATCATTTCAATTTCTTAGACAAAATAAACTGCATGCAAAAAGAGGCATCTGAAACAAGAAGGTATACAAGGTACATCAGAAAGACACAAAGTGGCAGAATTAAAAGACATGAGGGACAACCCCTTCAAAGGTAGGATTTGGATAGAAGCAAAGACTTCCAACCTTCTGCATCCATCACAGTAGTGTAGGGTGATGTTACACAAAGGATTAAGAAGTGAAGAAAAGACTGAAATAGCAGTGTCTGAAGAAAGTACCTGAAAGCTATTGTGCACTGGTATGAAGTGGAGGGTTCTGTGAAGAGCTGAGACAAAGGATCATGGAAGAGCATGTTATAGGTGGAAGGTGGCCCTGTGGATAGATCATATCAAGTGACCATACAATATGCCTGCTGAATCTCTCATATAGTGAACCTCACATTCCAATCAGAAGACAGGAATTTGAAGGATAACCTGCACAAAAGAAGAACAATTAGAAAACACTGTCAATATCTTTAGTCCCAGACTCTTTAACCTACTATTAGCAGATACAGCATAAGTAATATTACTGGAAAGAACATAGAAGTTTGTACGGGGAAACCAGATAACTACCTACTCAAAATGTTTGATCAGCAAAGCTGAGATAGCTATGCAAGCCTACAGATTTATATCGGCACCAGCATGTGAGAACAGAGGCAGCCAATTAAGTCTGGCCAGGCTGCAATAGAAAAACCCTTGAAGTATTTACAGGTATGAATATGAAAGAGAAAACTGACATGAGAGGTTATTTTGAGCTGCGAACAGGGGATTCAGTGGCTGACTGGCAAAAGTACTTAGCTGGGTGGCTAAATTGTTAGTTGTCAACAGTCATGAAATGGGTTGTAACTCCATAACCATTGTCTTGTCAGAAAAAACTATTAATGGGAGGGAGCAGTGGTCAAATGTGATTTTGGCCAAAAATGACGATATGAAGATCCAACGAAAGTTTGTTTTGGAAACAGGCAGGATTTGGAGTTCCAGACATCAGGGATCTTCCTGAATGACAGGACTAGGTCTGAATGCCCAACTTCAAGTCCCAATGTTACATAAATACTGTACATATTATGTAGTACAGTACCAGTATTAAAAATAAGTGCACCCTGGAAACTACTATACTAAGGGGTTGAGCATGAGCCTAAATGGACATTGATCCTGCATCCTTGAGAGAGAGAGAGAGAGAGAGAATAAAAAGAGTCACCCTATACAGGAGGGCCTCCTGATTCAAATATTTGTCCAAGTAGATGCAAAATTTTCCATCCCCAGCATACCTCAGCCCTGAGATATTTCAACATAATGGGTGGTCTCAATTGTGACCCATCCAGTGGGTGAAGCCTACAACCCATCCAAAAGGTCTATGTTAGTGGAAGTAATTAAGTTTGATCCTCACAGCAGAGAGAGCTCTATCCACAATTCATATTTAAGGGTACCTGCTAACATTGCCTGCTGCACGACAGAAACTTAAGCCCCACCACTGCAACAAGGCTGCTGCCTTAGGAAAGGACTAGAGGCATAATTATACACACACCAGAGGCAATGCATATGCTATACTAAAAAAATTACCAAAATATATAGCATGAGAAATATGCTTTTACATTCTTATAATATATAATACAGAAATTATGAAATGAATGTGGCACCTACTGTCTGCACTACAATAAGGAGTGCAAACTATAACAAAACACAAACTGAATAGCCAACTTACTGAAAAAGTGGAAAAAGTGAGGCAAGCCAAATCATGCAAAAAAAAAAAAAAAAAAAAAAAAAAAAATGACAATTACGGAAAACAGAATAAACTGTCAAGTATAATTACAGCAAACTAGAACAAAGAATAATGATTAGTGACTAATGAACCCACCTGACCAGGAGTGCATGAAAAGCCAGACTGTCTGAGGGTAAGCTGCACTACATCACAAGGATGGTGAACCACCCTCAACACCTGCACATACTCACGCCGCCGCCACAGCCGCACTGCCCAATCTGCTGCCCATACCGTTACTGCTACTGCAACCCATACCCATGTCTGAGAGGAATGAATACATGAACTGTTAACCTGGAGAATAGGTAAAAATAGATGAGCTAAAAATGTTTAATTTATCAGCTACCATAGCTGTGATGATTTAATTAAGTGAGCAATAGTCATTACTGACGTCATTACAAAGCATTATTAAATATTATACATTCAGTATAGTCATCACTATTGTATAATTGTCTGCAAGGTAATGTGTAACTTGAAGAAAATATGATTTACTTCATATTGTCTTATGGTGTTCTTTTATCTAGAAAATTTTTCTTGCCCATTCAAATAGTTTATTTTCTAATTTATTTGGAATACTTTTAATTAAATTTGTGTGTCTGCTTAAATCTTGCCTAAAATACTGAACATAATAGGGATTTTATAATCATTTTTGTATTTAATTATGCCCATACTGCCCTAACACCTATGTTTTTTAATAAAAAATTTAACTGAAATTCGAAGTTACAAGAGTTTAGCAATTTCAGAGAAAAACACTATAAATTACTTCATGCATCAAACACAAGACACATTTCTAGGAAGATAACAGAATGAATCCTTGCCTTACCAGGAGACAACTGTCAAGTTAATTTTTTTTTTTTTTTTTACCTCAAGAGCCCTCTCCCATGAAGGTAGGTTGGACCAAAAAAGGAAACTCATTCAATTTCTGCTTTGCCTGTACATTTATTATTGTTCGGCTAGAACTTTCTATGTTGAATTCCATGGAAACTATAAATATGGAATTTTAGTCTATATTTGAGAGTGAAGAGAAAGACAAGTTTCTTGCCTGAGAATGAATGGAGCCAAACTCTGGTGCTTTCAGACATTTATTTTGCTTTTTGCTCTGCTTCTGTGGCTTTACTTCTCCCTGAGCAACTATACTCTTTCCTGCTGCCTCAGAAGTCTCTGAAAATAGAAGTCACATTTTGTCAAACCTAAAACAAGTACTGTAAAACTGTTAAGTTATAATGAAGTATCAAAGAGTAGTGGTGGTTATAAATAATTAGCACTCTTAAAGTTTTGCTGTAAATGATCATTTTTTTTTTTTTTCGAACACCAACCATTTCCCACCGAGGCAGGGTGACCCTAAAAAGAAACAAAAGCTTTTCTTCTTTTTACATTTAGTAATTGATATAGAAGGGATAACTAGCCCCTTGCTGTGGGATTTTAGTTGCCTCTTACAATATGCATGGCTTACGGAGGAAGAATTCTGTTCCACTTCCCCATTGATTAAAATTATACTGTATAAACAAAATCTATTGCACATACCCTTGGTAGAAAATTGGCGAGTATGAAGTCCAGTGCTGGGATGATTTACATTTGAAGTTGATTGAAGGTAACTATGATCAGCATCAAGGTCAGTATAGCTATAACCTGTGCCAGGTTCAGCATAGCCATATTCAGAGTCAGAAACAGGGCTTCCATTATATGGAATAGGTTCTGGATAACCATATTCTGCAATGGGTTCAATATAATCATTGTCAGAATCAGATCCATAACCCTCATTATATGAATCAGGTTCAGTGTAATGCGAGTCCGAATTAGGCAGAGGGCTGCCATTGTAAGGATCTGGTTCTGGATAACCAAAGTCTGGCTCAAGCTCAGAGTATGTTTCTTGGTGGTCAGCATTATTTTGGTTACTCTTCTGCAAGGTGTGGTAGCTAATTCTATCCTTTTTCTCTTCGTTCATAAGACTGTGGTCTGGGGTCGAGTAGTTACCCACAAAGCTAGGCTCAGGAAATCCTGGAGAAAATAAAACATATCAAATATAAGTGGTAAATAGACATGTCAAAATAAAATTAGAAGAGGCTTAGAAATTAACAATATCTACACTAAAAGAATGAGTTACAAAATGTGGCCAGAAAAATGAAAACCAATCCTCAACCTGGTGGTAACACTAAGATGACTTTTCAGTCTACTGTTAACATTAGTCATCTAGTTTCATATTCAACATAAGGGTTAAACATTAAGTACCACTGTCACCTTGTTTTTGTATATCTAATGTACGTAGTTTTATTCCCTATTCAAAATGCACATCTTTTTGAGAGGCAGTCTTAGCAGAAATATATGATTAAGCAGTCTACATGTTTGTGTCTAGGATACAATACAGCCAAGCAGTTGACTAACTTGCACCATGAAGCAAAATACAGTGGTACCTCAGTATACGTCCTTAATCCGTTCCAGGACCTAGGACTTATACCAAACAGGACGTACGTATTCCAAATGAATTTTCCCATAAGAAATACATGGGGAAAATGATTAATCCGTTCCCATAAAAAAAAATTATTATTGGCATATTATACATTGATGGGGGTTGTATAAAATAATTTAAACACTGCTTAATACTAAAATATGTAATTTAAACACTGCTTTATATTAAAATATGTAATTTAAACACTGCTTAATATTAAAATATGTAATTTAAACACTGCTTAATATTAAAATATGTGTAATTTAAACACTGCTTTATATTAAAATACATAAATACAGAAGAATTAGATTAAATAAATGCAAATTTAACCTCACTTTACTTTGCTGGAAAGAGTCGAGTGCCTACTAGGATAGTGCTGAGAAGGGAGGAGGAGGAAATGTTATTGTTTGGAAGGAGAGTCCCTTTCTCTTTTCCCTATTTGGACCTAGTTAAACTAAAAATCTGTCCAAAGAACTTCGCTTCTGCCTTCTCCTCAGGATGTTTTAGAAATGTGACATTGTCTAGTCATTCCAGACAATGGTATTATGGCTTGTTTGGGCTTTGTTGGGGTGGTACTTCTCTGCAAAGTTTTTGACGTCCATCCATTTAGCAAAGATTTCCTTGATTAACAAAGTAGGGGCTTCTTCTATCTCCTCTTCTGAGCCTGAAGAGTGCATCCATCTTAGTCTTATGCTCCTCCTCCTCAAGTTCCTGCAGCTCCTCAGTTGTCAACTCTCCCCTGTGCCCCTCCACTAACTCCATATCACCATCACTCACATCCAGACCCATGGACCTGCCCAGAGACACTATCCTCTACTATAGACACAGCCTCAAAGCCCTCAAAGTCCCTTTCAGCCACTGCTTCTGGCCACAAATTCCTTCAAGCATAGTTCACTGTTCTGTATGAAACTTCCTGCCAGGCTTTGTCAATGAGAATTATGCAATGGGCGACAGTAAAATGATCTTTCCAAAACTCTCTCAGGGCTAACTCTGTCAGAGGTCACCTCACAGCATCTCTGGAATGGTGCTTTAGTGTAGAGTTTCTTGAAATTACTGATGACCTGCTGATCCATGGGCTGAATGAGAGGAATCGTGTTAGGGGGGAGAAACTTTACAGTGATGAAGTCAAACTCCGGCAGCACATAGTCCTGTAAGCTTGGAGGGTGAGCTGGAGCATTGTCCATTATGACGAGGGCCTTCAGAAGCAGGTTTTTCTCCTCTAAGTAACTTTTTACACTTGGCCCAAACACAACATTAAACCATTTGCTGAAATATTCTCTGGTTACCCAAGCCTTGCTGTTTGACCTCCACATCATGGGTTACCGAGTTTTCTGCAAGTTACATTTTTTAAAGGCCCTTGAGATTTTAGAGTGGTAGATCAGTAGAGGCTTCAGTTTGCAACCCCCACCTGCACTGGCACAGAACAAGAGTTAACCTATCCTTCACTGGCTGTGTCCTGGTAATGCCTTCTCCTCTTGTGTGATATAGATCCTGTTAAGCATTTTCTTCCAAAACAGGCCTGTTTCGTCACAGTTAAAAACTTGCTGGGGAACAAAACCCTCAGCCTCCAAATTCCCCAATCATTAGTGGCATCTTTAACAGCACTGGCTTCCTCTCCTTGCCTCACAACACTGAATGCCAGTCCTCTTAAAATTATCAAACCAGCCATGGCTGGCTTTAAACACTTCACTTTCTTGGTTCGTTCCTGCTTTGTTTTTTAAAGGATTGGCATCCATCAGTTTTGCCTTTTCGCAAATCACTGCCTCTGATACGCTATTGCCAGCACACAGTTTTTCTGTTATCCAGATCAAAATCAATTTTTCAACATGCTCTAATGTCCCTGATCTTTGTTTGGTAATCGATTTCACCCCCTTCACAATGTTAGCCAATTTAATAACATCTTTGTTTTCCACAATTGTAGATACCGTTGTTCTTGGCATACAGTATGCAGCAGCCAAGTCCCAGATACGCATGCCACCTTCATACTCTTCAACAATCTCTTTTCACTTCCATGGTGATCCTAACCATTTTCTTTGTTGCTTGGCCTTCTCACTGACTTTCTTAGACCTCATGGTTAATGAATTTATGTACTAAAAATTTATACGAAAAAACACAATCACGTGAAAATTCAGTTACAGCGCGGGTTGTTCACTGAAAGGTAGTAACGAGCATAATGAGGCTAGTGGGCAGTCATGGCTTTGTCTTAAGAGAGGTCAACAAGGGTAGCAAGCAGTGTCACGACTCATTTTGACCCATACAAGTTCTAGCATGCAAGTCGCATTCCAAACAAAGGTCGTATACCAAGCAAAAATTTTTGCGTCCAAACAGGACGTATACCAAGTTGGACTTTTTCCAAAACGGACATGTACCGAGGTACCACTGTACTAAAGTAAGGAGACAAGGAAAATTTCCCCCAGATGGATGAAACATCTCTCAAAAATACCCAAGCATTGCACATGTGTCATGTTTATATAAATGCTGTTTTAATACCAAGAGCTATTGTAGAGGAAAGATTGCCATACAAATTTCAGTATGGGTAACGAAAAATATAGTACTTGGAATGTTTACTAAAAAAATTGCAAAGAATTCACAAAAGAAACCAATTAGGGAAAGTCTTGGGCAGAAATTCATTATTTTATTATTATCACACTGGCCGATTCCCACCAAGGCAGGGTGGCCCGAAAAAGAAAAACTTTCACCATCATTCACTCCATCACTGTCTTGCCAGAAGGGTGCTTTACACTACAGTTTTTAAACTGCAACATTAACACCCCTCCTTCAGAGTGCAGGCACTGTACTTCCCATCTCCAGGACTCAAGTCCGGCCTGCCGGTTTCCCTGAATCCCTTCATAAATGTTACTTTGCTCACACTCCAACAGCACGTCAAGTATTAAAAACCATTTGTCTCTATTCACTCCTATCAAACACGCTCACGCATGCCTGCTGGAAGTCCAAGCCCCTCGCACACAAAACCTCCTTTACCCCCTCCCTCCAACCCTTCCTAGGCCGACCCCTACCCCGCCTTCCTTCCACTACAGACTGATACACTCTTGAAGTTATTCTGTTTCGCTCCATTCTCTCTACATGTCCGAACCACCTCAACAACCCTTCCTCAGCCCTCTGGACAACAGTTTTGGTAATCCCGCACCTCCTCCTAACTTCCAAACTACGAATTCTCTGCATTATATTCACACCACACATTGCCCTCAGACATGACATCTCCACTGCCTCCAGCCTTCTCCTCGCTGCAACATTCATCACCCATGCTTCACACCCATATAAGAGCGTTGGTAAAACTATACTCTCATACATTCCCCTCTTTGCCTCCAAGGACAAAGTTCTCTGTCTCCACAGACTCCTAAGTGCACCACTCACTCTTTTTCCCTCATCAATTCTATGATTCACCTCATCTTTCATAGAAATTCATTACTGTAGAAAAAATAAAGTACTTCTGTCTGTAGGTTAGTTAGTTGCAGTCAAAATATTGTATATTTACCTTCCTCATTTGTGTGGGAGTCTCCATACATCTGACAACCTGGGATGTGTCCATGAAGGTTCTTCTGCTGCTTGAGAACACCACTGTTGGAAAGGATATCACAATCATTCCACTTATAAAGTCAAATCCATTAACTGCAGTATATACTATGCTCAAGTAACTATGATTAATAAGAGAGCAATTCAAGAAGCAGTATTCAGAAAAATCTTCATTAACTGACAGTTTGATGAAGCATTTCCTGCATGATCCTTCATGTATGTCAATAACAAATTACTTGCATATTTTTTAACACTCCAGCTATCTCCCACTAAGGTAGGTTGACCCGACAAAACACTTTCATGGTCACTCATTTAATGAATGTCTTGCCAAGAGGGAACTCCAGTCACAGTTCAGATAACCCTTCAAACTTTAACATCCCCATCCTTCCTTCAGAGTGGAGGTACTGTACCTCCCGTTTCATACAGAAATTTTTCTTTCAACACTTTGGCTGTCTCCCACCAAGGTTCAGTGACCCGAAAAAGAAGAAACACTTGCATCACCATCATTCATTTAATCACTGTTTTACAGAAATATGTTGAGATCACAGCTCGGATAAACTTCCAAATTGCAACATCCTCACCCCTCCTAAGGAGTGCAGGCACTGGACTTCCCACCCAGTAAAAATATTTATTTACTGATTTTCTTAAATATTCATTTTTTTTCATTCTTTAACCTTGGTGTAATGTCCTTGCTATGAGTTATAGGTCCTTAAATAGACAGTTTCATGACTAACTTTCCCAGTCTATCACAAGAGGGAACATGATGTCATACTAAATATTACAAAGCACAGAGATCAGACAACAGCAGGCTCTATCAGGAATGCTACAAAAACTAGGGTGGATATATAGCCTGGAAATTGCCAGGTAAATGGTTACCAAGGAATACGTATGCACAATACACGAACGTATCAGAAGCCATTGATGCAAAGTTATCCAGAAATAAACATTCCCATATACAGTGGACCCCCGCATAACGATCACCTCCGAATGCGACCAATTATGTAAGTGTATTTATGTAAGTGCGTTTGTACGTGTATGTTTGGGGGTCTGAAATGGACTAATCTACCTCACAATATTTCTTATGGGAAAAAATTCGGTCAGTACTGGCACCTGAACATACTTCTGAAGTGAAAAAATATCGTTAACCGGGGGTCCACTGTAGTATGGAATAAATTTGGTTCCCAAAATAGCAGGCAAGGACTTAAACATCTCAAAATAATAATAATAATAATAATATACCTACCATCCGACTTACGACCGAGTTCGGTTCCGAGAAACCGGTCGTAAGTCTAACTTTACTACTGAATATCAACAAAACATTTTTGTAATGACTATTTTATTGTTTTATTTTGGTATTTCATGTTTTACTTTACTTTTTATGCTGTTAGTACTGTATTTTATACTGTAAGGTTTAGGATAAACACTGTGTACAACACAAATAGTTGTTTATTTCCCAGAAATTTGGCATAAAAAACACTGTCGTAAGTCGAGTGGTCGTAAGTCGAGCAGGTCGTAAGTCGGATGGTAGGTGTAATAATAATAAAAATAAAAATAATAATAAAAAAATAATAAAAAAAAAAAAAATAAAAAAATAATAATAAAAATAATAATAATAATAATAATAATAATAATAATAATATAATATAATAATAATATAATAATTAATAATAATAATAATAATAATAATAATAATAATAATAATAATAATAATAATAATAATAATAATAATAATAATAATAATAATAATAATAATAATAATAATAATAATAATAATAATAATAATAATAATAATCATCCATTAAGGCAGTTCTTAGGTGATTCAAGTTGAAGTCATACTAATAAAAAAATTTCATTACCTTATACTATCAATCACTTGGAGATACATGTATATTATGAAAAAATAAAAGTACATGTATAAGCAAACTAAAGGCCTAAGGTTTTAATATGCCAATTTATATAGTTATTGTTATAATGTCCTGTATTATAAAAGCCCCTGTGAAGTCAGATATATAAACTGACAAACTTTTAAATATGATATAGTAAATGTAATTTTGTTATATATGCTGAAAAATATTACCATTTCATGGCACCTCAAGCTTGCAGTGACTCTACATTTCGAGATAATACAAAATAATAAAGATGAAATTTAATGGTGGTAAAAAGAAAAATATTGCACTACATACCTGATTGGATGAATTACAAGCAGGAGAAGGAAAATGAGACCAAGGTGGTGAGTGTAGAAGAACACATCATAGTTCCTTTTTCTAGCCCAGCGGGTAGAGGTGACTCCCAAGACAGCCAGTATCACCATCATTGCCACTCCTGTTACTCCTGGAACTGTTGCATGCAATCAAGACACTGAAATTGTATTATATACAGTGGACCCCCGGTTTACGATCAGCTCCCAATGCGACCAATTATGTAAGTGTATTTATGCAAGTGTGTTTGTATGTGTATGTTTGGGGGTCTGAAATGGACTAATCTAATTCACAATATTCCTTATGGGAACAAATTCGGTCAGTACTGGCACCTGAACATACTTCTGGAATGAAATAATATCGTAAACCGGGGGTCCACTGTATATGTACTTCTTTTTTTTTTTTAAACTACACAATCATTTTTTCTTTTAACATGCTGGTCATCTCCCACTGAGGCAGGGTGACCTGAAAAAGAAACTATCACCATCATTTACACTATTACTGTCTTGCCAGAGGCAAGCAGATACACAATAACATTGCATCAGATTTAAGAAACACCTTCAAATGATATAATGATATAAGCATAATGTAAACTAGTGTACAATCCTCTTTTCTTAATTAAAAAAATTAAACTAAAAAAACTGAACAGTGACCATTCAGAGAAACAAATCTGCCAGAAAACTTTCTTAAATATTAGAAGAGGAGTATAATTTAGGTCAAGCAAGATCTTACCTGTTGCCACGAAGATACGCAGAGGGCTCTGTGAAAGACACCATAAATTACTTCTAGGTGACTGATGCAGTTCATGGTAGGTAACAATTATGACAGCACAAATAAAATTATTTTTATATAGATCTATTTTTGCTGTACATTTATGCACTCAGGTTTCACAAGTTTTGAGGCATTACAGTAAGATAAATATGACTTTCTGGAGGTCTGGTGAGACTGTTTAGACCAGTTCAGACAACATGCTCTTTACAATATGGTACACTTTACAAACAGTATTAATATCAAGTTGAATTCTGAATGTGCAAGATGCATTTCTACAAACTCAACCATCCTGAACTGTAGGATAATAACTATTCCCACGGTTTTGGAGATTAAAATACTCCTAAACTACACTTTACGACACTCCTGACACGTGATATGGGTTAACACAAGAATTATGGTAATACAGTAACTAGACCACTGGTATCCCACAAACACTTAAGTTGGAGGATGGCTTGATATTATGACTATTGTATCTAGGCCTAATGCTCATTTCACCTATTTTATAAGGATGTACGTATTACTGTACTTATCACTATCACCAGTACAGAGTGGCAAAGCTATGGAGGGTGGGGGGGATGGGAGATTCCAGTTAATGATATATATATGTAAGCATACTGAAAATTACACTTTTTTTTTTTTTAGTTTTCAGTATCTTATCTTAAAGTCCCCTCCCAGATTGAAATCATGATTTAAGCCTCCAGAATGAACTCCTGGTTTAAGGCCCCCTACCCTCATCCCAAATGAAATCCTGGCTACACTACTAGTAATACATATAACAAATCCCAGAAACTCTCTCCCCCTTCTCCCACTGATCTAATATGCTGGATGCTCCCACTCCCTAACTGCTCTTGTAGCTACAAATAGGCCATCACAAATACCACAGATCATCTCTCTCACACACTTACCTCACCCCTGTAGTTCGCCACATTGAGGTCTGGATAGCGGCTGCTGTAGTGACGGGAAAAGTTAACAGCATTGGACAAGTGAGCTCCAGTATGTACCACTGCAACACAAGGATACAGCACTTAGAATTGCAACAAGATGTTCTAATAACTTAGTTAGCATTTGTGTACATAATTTTTTGTATCTGGTATAAAATGATACACTCCAAAACAGATCCAAATGAACCTTGTTAGCCCCAGTATTTAGAAGCTAGCAAAAAGTCACATTAAAAACCCTAACTTAGCCAAAATTGTCTTTTTGTATGGAACTTTATTTCTTTAACCAGTGTTTCACACTATACATTGACCCAGGTCCTGTACCAGTGTCTCACCATACATTCATCCAGATCATGTCACAGTGTTATGCCCTATATACATCCAGATTCTAGAATACGTACATACAAACCAATTTCTTCTGATCCTTGCTAATCCCCATTACCATATACGTATATTTCTATTTCTCTTTCTCCCACTGGTTTACTCTCCCTCCTTCCCTCTCTAACAGTCTCCTTCTTTCTTTCTTTCTTACTCTTTCTCACAATGAAATAGTGAGACACTAACAGCATTCAGCATCTGATGTGACCCAGTGTACACCATAAGTGAGTCAGCTTATTCATAAGCTAATGTTGCTTGATATGCATGATTACATATCTAGGCTGAAAATGGCTATTATTTTTTCCCAAAATAAACCAGGCAAGTTTCACGGAGCACCACAAACTTTTACCAAATTTACCCTAGTCTTATTTTACCTAATCAAATTTAACTTTGTCTCATTTAACCTAATTTTAGCTAAATAAATCTTACCCAGTCACACCAGACCTAACTTAATTTAACGTTATGAGTGTAAGCAATAGTAAAAGTGTTGTGTATTAAGATGATAATCATGGTTAAGCACTATACCTGTAATAGTGCTAATTAAGTTTTAGGTACAGGGCCACATAAGTACAATTATCATACATAGTAATATATATGTAAATTACCTAGGAAACCCCCCCAAAAAACTCGGTGGCTTATTGCCACTGGGGTGCTGGAGAATGAAAGGTAATCATGTTTGATCTGAAGAGCTCCAGTTCCTTGAATTAGGAACTGAGCATCACAGCACTCATCCCTTTCAAAGTGAGTAAAAGTAAGGATGAAAAGGAGACAATGAACATGCATGAGACTGCATACTTTGATTTTATGAAGCTCTAAACCCATGTGAGCCAAACAGCAAAATGATGGAGGCGTAATACTCCATCTGATAATTATTACTAATTTTTATACTCATGGGGAAGCACTAAACCCAAAAGAGTCATACAGCACCTGCAAAATTTAAGGTAATCGGGTCTATCCACTAATCACTGCCTAGTCTTTGATTGCTTACACTGCATCACTTCAGGCATTTAATTAGGATATTTTTCCACATTTTTAAATCAAATATGCAGAACAAAAAACAAAGAGGCAGGAAGGCAAGCCAAGTAGACTCAGGTCCAGTGATGTGTAATGTGTGAGCAAACAAACATTACCAGCACTTGAAAGATGCTACAACTCAGAGTGACGAACTACTGTGTAGGAAGACATAATAAAGACCGCCTCAAAGTACAATAAAGGTCGCCTCAAAGCACAATAAAGGTCGCCTCAAAGCACAATAAAGGTCGCCTCAAAGCACAATAAAGGTCGCCTCAAAGCACAATAAAGGTCGCCTCAAAGCACAATAAAAGTCGCCTCAAAGCACAATAAAGGTCGCCTCAAAGCACAATAAAAGTCGCCTCAAAGCACAATAAAGGTCGCCTCAAAGCACAATAAAGGTCGCCTCAAAGCACAATAAAAGTCGCCTCAAAGCACAAAGGTCGCCTCAAAGCACAATAAAGGTCGCCTCAAAGCAGAATAAAGGTCGCCTCAAAGTACAATAAAGGTCGCCTCAAAGCACAATAAAGGTCGCCTCAAAGCACAATAAAAGTCGCCTCAAAGCACAAAGGTCGCCTCAAAGCACAATAAAGGTCGCCTCAAAGTACAATAAAGGTCGCTTCAAAGCACAATAAAGGTCGCCTCAAAGCACAATAAAGGTCGCCTCAAAGCACAATAAAGGTCGCCTCAAGGCAGTGATGTCCTTCTTCAAGACCAACTTGGCGTCTCTGTAATTTAAGTGCCTAAGAATTCCTAAGTATTACACAAGCATTATTCAAACTACATTTACTGTCATGCATACCTGTGTTAATGAAGACTCTCCTGGCTGTCTCACCAACATATACTCACTACATGGAATATCACTTGTCTCACACCTGCTTCAGTCTCAACAGTACTAACTGTTCTCTTAATTACGTCCTTGATAGTTGTACTTGTATTGTTAGGCAGTTAATGATTGTCAGCTTATCCAAGGAAAACACTAATATACAGTAGTTTATTTTTGTGGAAGTAGTATAGGAAAGAGAAGCTACATATTTACAGTACCAATATATCAATAAGTCGAACCTGTAGTGTCCAAGCACACTGACAATACTGAAGTCTTTACAATAACGTGATAATCAAGTGTATTTTGTATCCACTAATTTACGTGATTTTTATGTTATTTAAAGTTTATTTGATAAAACATGAGTAAGCAAAAATAAGCCAAACTCACTCACTGCCATATTTATTAGAATTACTTTTATTTTATGTATATCAATTCATATTTTTGTATACATACATGTACGCATATATACTGTTTATTATATTCTATTACAAACTTTTTTCTTAGGTTTTAGCTTGCACTAAATGCTTTGCATAATCAAGGGCTTTCCATGTGTAAATGACATTCAGTTTTGTAACGATTTTTTTTAACAAGTCTGTGGAAAATACTGTACATATTTTCCAGAAATTCAGTATTTATATGTACATAGATGGCCATACTGTATTTAATAATATTTATGTCATAGAAAACGGAAAGCCTGCGTCTGGGCAGACGAGACTCGCCATCTTGGTTTTGAATTTTGTACAAACGTTGGTATAATGGGAAGAATTTTTCGTGCTCTAGAGGTTAAAATTGTTTTGACACCTCTCAAATAGGAGACGAAATTGGTGGATGTGCATTCCTGCATAACTTGAGATATCAGACGACTGGACAAGACAGCTCCAGGAATCTCAGATAAGCTCTCTAGATTTGTGTGTAATTCTGGCCAGCATTATTTTCATAGATTTAGTTAGAGTGAGGTTTTCTGAGCATGATACACATTAATCTCCAGTCAAATTGGTGAGTGATATTAAGATATATTTTCCTTCTGTTATGTAATTGTGTATATATATAACCATTTATTATTTTTAATATACAGTCCACAAATTTATATATTTACCAGTATTCCTGGTGTATGTATATTTCATTTAATTAATAGGTCCAGAGCAACTTGTGGTTATGACAGTGGTAGGTATCGAAGGGGGACATTTTTTGCGACCTAGGTGTCCCAAATTCCTACTTGTCTATGTAACATTGATAAATAATAATTATCTATGTTCATTTACTGTTATAAAAAAAACAACGGGCAAATTAAACGTGGAAAATTGCATTTATCTGAATGTAACTAATTACCTGGAGTTTACCTGGAGAGAGTTTCGGGGGTCAACGCCCCCGCGGCCCGGTCTGTGACCAGGCCTCCTGGTGGATCAGCGCCTGATCAACCAGGCTGTTGCTGCTGGCTGCACGCAAACCAACGTACGAGCCACAGCCCGGCTGATCAGGAACTGTCTTTAGGTGCTTGTCCAGTGCCAGCTTGAAGACTGCCAGGGGTCTGTTGGTAATCCCCCTTATGTGTGCTGGGAGGCAGTTGAACAGTCTCGGGCCCCTGACACTTATTGTATGGTCTCTTAACGTGCTAGTGACACCCCTGCTTTTCATTGGGGGGATGGTGCATCGTCTGCCAAGTCTTTTGCTTTCGTAGTGAGTGATTTTCGTGTGCAAGTTTGGTACTAGTCCCTCTAGGATTTTCCAGGTGTATATAATCATGTATCTCTCCCTCCTGCGTTCCAGGGAATACAGGTTTAGAAACCTCAAGCGCTCCCAGTAATTGAGGTGTTTTATCTCCGTTATGCGCGCCGTGAAAGTTCTCTGTACATTTTCTAGGTCGGCAATTTCACCTGCCTTGAAAGGTGCTGTTAGAGTGCAGCAATATTCCAGCCTAGATAGAACAAGTGACCTGAAGAGTGTCATCATGGGCTTGGCCTCCCTAGTTTTGAAGGTTCTCATTATCCATCCTGTCATTTTTCTAGCAGATGCGATTGATACAATGTTATGGTCCTTGAAGGTGAGATCCTCCGACATAATCACTCCTAGGTCTTTGACGTTGGTGTTTCGCTCTATTTTGTGGCCAGAATTTGTTTTGTACTCTGATGAAGATTTAATTTCCTCATGTTTACCATATCTGAGTAATTGAAATTTCTCATCGTTGAACTTCATATTGTTTTCTGCAGCCCACTGAAAGATTTGGTTGATGTCCGCCTGGAGCCTTGCAGTGTCTGCAATGGAAGACACTGTCATGCAGATTCGGGTGTCATCTGCAAAGGAAGACACGGTGCTGTGGCTGACATCCTTGTCTATGTCGGATATGAGGATGAGGAACAAGATGGGAGCTAGTACTGTGCCTTGTGGGACAGAGCTTTTCACCGTAGCTGCCTCGGACTTTACTCTGTTGACGACTACTCTCTGTGTTCTGTTAGTGAGGAAATTATAGATCCATCGACCGACTTTTCCTGTTATTCCTTTAGCGCGCATTTTGTGCGCTATTACGCCATGGTCACACTTGTCGAAGGCTTTTGCAAAGTCTGTATATATTACATCTGCATTCTTTTTGTCTTCTAGTGCATTTAGGACCTTGTCGTAGTGATCCAGTAGTTGAGACAGACAGGAGCGACCTGTTCTAAACCCATGTTGCCCTGGGTTGTGTAACTGATGGGTTTCTAGATGGGTGGTGATCTTGCTTCTTAGGACCCTTTCAAAGATTTTTATGATATGGGATGTTAGTGCTATTGGTCTGTAGTTCTTTGCTGTTGCTTTACTGCCCCCTTTGTGGAGTGGGGCTATGTCTGTTGTTTTTAGTAACTGAGGGACGACCCC